TGTTAAAGGAGAGATTGCGCTGACGCCGATAGCTTTGCGGAGAGAACGCGACATGGATTCCGTTCGTTTCGAAGGCTAGAGAGCGAAGTGTAAAGCCCTTGCGCGCGCGGCATTCCTCATATTAAATGCATTTTTCGCTAATGCTTAGCTGTTTTTTTGCTTTTCCCCAACCAAACCTCCGAGAGTCTATTATTTATCTATTAGTCCTCTTATCTATTTATAAAACATTTTTAGTATATTTTATGCAGGCAAAAAAAAACTTAAATTTCATTAACTTACATTTAAAATTTAATAACTTTTTAACGTCATCTCTATTTAATATATATTATACTTCACATAAATAAAGTTAATGCAATAATAAATGAGGGGTAAAATTGTATATTCATGCAGAAATTTTTTTCAGTATCCTATAAATAAAACTAAAAAATGCATTCTCTCTCTACCCTATATAGGACCAGATGAGTATCTATTAAGGATTAATATTAGGTTTAGTCCTTTAAGTTGACCCTTATTTTGATCGTAGTCCTTCAAGTTTTAAATAATAGCTTTTAGTTCCTCAAATTTCTTTTTATTTAGAATATTAGCCCTCTAATCTAACAAAAAGTTAGATCATTTTACCATTTGAAAGACAAAATTTATACTCCTTCAGTCCTAAATATAAGAGTTATTTTGTTGTGTAAATTACACTACAAAATAGGTCTTATATTTAAACCAGAGAGAGTAATTTGAAATCCGAGGGATTAAAACCAAAATCATGACAAATTTAAGAGACTAAAAATTATATTAACCTATCTATTGAAAGTAGAGTGAAAAATAAGACTCACAAGAAACTGCCACTTGATTTCAGTCATTCAATCATACGGGTAAATGAGTTTTATTTTTTCATTTTTTAAAATCCGTAATTATAAGCGCACCTCCCCTATTTTTGTGACTACGCATGATTAGGACCGGAGGTTATGTGATTTGTGTTATTTTCTCACTTTTGTAAAAGCTGGAATTTTCTGCACATTACTTCTTATTATATTCTTTGTATGTGTTTTAACTCCCAAATAATAGATATTTTAAAGTTTAAATTCAAAATATATGAAAATGATATAACTTTTTTGACTCACCGCCAGTTATAAAAATTTTCGAACAGCTTCCATTAATATTTAAATTTCAATTCTTATAGATTTTTTTAATCTTTAATTTTACTCTTTTTACTTATTCCCACATTGTATTATTTCTGTTTAAATTATTTTAGTTGAATTTTTTATTCTTAAAATAAAGATCCTGACCAAATATTTTAATTTTAAATTAAAAAATATATAAAATGATATAACTTTCCTAATTTACCCCGATATATTTGGGTGCAGGATTTCATAATTTTCTGTTCAGTTTACTAACCAACCAATACAATCTCAAAATAAAACTATTTTAAAAAATATTATGCATTTCTCCCTCATGCCTTTTTCCATTTTTAAAAAAATCATTGAAAATGATTTATTCCCTTATCCTTGCCGATTGCTCCCTTTTACTCCTCTCCAGGCGACCATGACAACCAAGCAGAAGCGGATGGGAATCAATGAAAGTGTGGAGATTGTGAAGTTTTCGAAGCACAATATTACTAGGAAGGTTACTCTTGTGATAAGGCAATATAAGACACTAAGGTGTGTTTGGATTAGTGGTGGGAGAAGTTACTTTTTTTCAATATGACTCTTCTCTTGCAAATGTCAGATTAGATAAAATTAGGTAATATAATGGATTTATGTTTGAATTGACTTTTATAAAAAAAGTCAATTTAAGAAGTTGAAACTTGTTTAAATGATAATAAAAAAAATAAATTAGATGTAAAATAACTAAAATGATATGAAGTTTATTGAATGGTATATATTTATATTACATATTTATAATGTGATAATTGTCAGAGAAAAATTAAAATTATAAAATAAAAATACTTATTTTTTTTAAAGAATAATAAATTTATTTTTTTAAAAATGATTTTATTATTCAAAAAATAATTTCTTTAATGTTAAAAACCAATTGGCTGGATTAAAAAACAAAAAAGAAACTCGCATCATGCATTCTCTCTCCTCCATCGCCTCACCTATCAAAACGTGCAGTGGAGCTTTTTTTGACCTGCAGTAGCGAAGGAGTTGAGAATAGGAGCTTTTGGAAAAGAGATCGTTTCCGGTACAAGGGAGTGTTTGGAAAACTTCAAAAATATTTTTTCACAAATCGATATAATTTTCTTTCACATATTTACTTTATATCGTAAAAACACTTTTAAAATCATGGTTTTGTTTTTATCTAAACATTTCCTGAGCCCATTTACCTCCACAGTAAATCCAAACATATGTTTTAAACAAAAAGTTGTTTTTTTTCAGCTTTTATTGGTGGAGAAGTCAGTTTGGTAGCCTTCACTATGATCCCAAACTCACCCTAGGGCATCTGCGGGCATTGTGAAGTTTTTGGTATTCGTATTTTCTCTATTTTTATTATGATTTTTCTTCATGATTTGATATCTCTTCTCATTTTAATTTCATTCTTATATTTTAGATTTATACCCATGATGAAGAAGCCAAGGAGATACAGTACAAGAAAAATGACAAAACTTTTCTAGTAACTTGTAACCCAAAGTAATTCAAGAAAAATAAATTGATTCCATACCCAAATAATTTTCCAGTTACCAATTTTCTTCATTCTTTCTAGTTGAAATTTGTGAATAAAGCAAGGCATAATTGTGCATAATGTTTAGCGTTGATTCTGAGTAGATTTCTTTTGTCGATGCTTCATCAAATCTTCATTTTTTCCGTCTTAGTCTACAATTATTTATGGTTTAGACTTCAACTCCCCATCACTTCTTCGACAATGCTGCTTTCATCTCTATCTTACCATTCATATGTCAAGTTTACTCTTTATTTTACATCAGTCATAATTAACTCTCATTAATGAAAATCCCATGAAACCTAATATTTTGATGTTGATTTACTTTTATGTAGCAAATGATTTAGATATTCTTTGGTTTTTAGTGTAAATGTTGAAATATCGAGACTAGTAGACTACAACAAAAGGGAGTACATCGCATACAATGTGAATAACCTCACTAAGCTGCAAAATAAGCATATTCTTAGCATACAACGTTCTCCCATCCATTTTGATTATCTTATTATTATCTCTATTTCACATGTTCTGCCCAAAAAAAAATTAACATAAATAAATAAGGATAGAAGAAGGCTCCAAAAACAATTCAAATTTAAAAAGTAAAATGTATCTTTTTAATTCAAAATAATTAACATTGATAAATAATACATAATAAATGAATAGATTATTATTTTCTCATTGTTCCTGTTTTACATTATCAACAGAAAAATTAGGAGGCCAATGAAATAACGATTTGTTCCTCTTCCCATAAATAAATAAACTTTATAAAATTAGAGTGCTTTGTATAATAGAGTTGTGAAATGGAGCTTCTACTTTGTTCCTTTTATCATTCCATCTGTAGGCTATATTTGCATATGTTTTATACACACGTTAAACTTGAAGATAAGCTTCTTGATTACATAGGCTCTTTTATTGTTTACTGCCATCCTATGCAAGCTTTTCTGACCGAAAGCTCTGCAAAACCCAACTCAGCTCGAATCCTAACTCAAAAACCTCTACAAGATGTCGATTACTCTGAAGCATGATTTGTAGACGTATATGTCCTTCTTCCACCAGCCCTCCGATAATTACCATTTGGTATAATGGCATGCACATTATATCAGCTCCGTACCATAGGAGTGATTCCTATGTGATGCAAACATCGGCTATATGATTAGGATGATGGAATTTGCACTTACCTTAACAATGTTTACCACAGCCTCATTGTTTTGGGAATGTTTTTGAATTGGCAAAATACTCCCACTTTCTGGAACAATGGAGCTCCTCTGTGACTCTGTTGGGGTCTTGAACTTAATTCCTGGTAGAGCCAAAGCAAATTAAAAAAGAATGGAAAGAAGAAGAAGAAGAGATGTTTCACTAGCTTAGGTTAGTCTCCAGACTCAACTCACTTAAATTTTTTTGCATCAAAAAGAAGAGATGTTATAATAATAAGAAAAGAAATATGCATGGTACATTTCTCCCAACATAATGCCCTAAATCCAGTTCTCTATGCTGACTGGTTAGGAAAGAGACAGGCTGTCCAAAAATTGAAATGTTTCCATTTCAAAGGGCCTAATGGAATGCTATAAGATGTTCAGGTTGTCACGCCCAGGAAGGTATCAAGAAAAATAGCTTAAAAAGTATAAGTTGGTATCAGTATGGATAAATATATTAATATAAGATATAAAATTACGCTTAGGACTTATTTGTTAAATTGGGTGGGAAACCCACAAATATCAATCCAATTAAGTTGAATAATAAAGTGTTGAATCAAGAACTTAGCAAGCACCAACAAGTGTAAAAGAAAATCCTCAAATCAATGCTAAAACTACAATTTTAGTTGTCAATATTGAACCAGAAGCGCGCTAAATTTTCTAGCTAATATATTATACATATCCCATTTGAAAGAAAATCACAAAATTGAGACATGAATGGCCAAAGCCATTTGTACCAAAATAATATGAATATCACTACTTCACCTTAATGTTTATTAAGAAAAAATACATTCTGAACCAGATAAAAACACTAACATGTGCAGACAGGGTGAATCAAGTAGCATATTCAAACCTAGTCAAATCAAATTGAATCAAGTAAAATAAAATCCTTCAATACTGAAAATAATAAGGTATATCATGTAACCAAACAAAACCCATATGAACAAAGGCGGTTTGATTATTTTGTCAGATGAAGTGTTGGATTATCTTCGTTACTCATCCCTTTCTCCCAAAGGCCAAATGAAGTTAGTTTATGAGTTAACAGCAAAACTGAACACGTAGAATCAAGTGGATCAGTAAACTAGAATTGGAGGAATTAACAGGTTCAAAACATTAACCAACTAACAAAGCAAGAGTATTTTAAAACCTCGTCACATAGTTTACTAATCATAAACCAGAATTCTGATTTGGAAAAGGATGGTTTTAATGCAGCACTAGTGACGAAGAAGGTCAAATGGAAAATATGGCCCACGAAAGCCTACTGATGAAGGGTTCTATAATCCAACGAAAGGTAAAACAATGTCTCTATACATGATTCTTACTCCAAAACGCCTTCTCAGATAAGCTTTAAAACTTGGGGCTAAATTCAAATGGAGAGATCCTAGTGTAATATGAAGCTCTTTGCATGCTAGATATGTCATTCCCAACCTAAATTAAAGCAAACCACATAAACATTAATAATGCGTCGTACCAATACAAATGAAGAGAAAACAGGTCTACAATTGCTACATCTTAGTCCATATTCTTACCTTCAAACCTTTCCATTCTTCATTTTCCTTGCAAGATCCAGTTTAGACTGATACAACTCTAATAATTGAGTTGCTTCCTGCCCCTGACAAAGGAGAAACCTCCTCAGAAAATAACTTTCACTATATACAAATGTTGCAAACAATGTTTTCTTTTTCATTAGACCCCTTGACAACAGAGCTTGAATGACAGCACCTCTCGGAACTATTCGCCTTTTCAAGCTCAATGTAAAAACTGTAGGATATTTGCTAGTAGTAGAAGACTCACAGCCCAATTTATGGACAAGAAACTCCATTATTGCATCGATCTTATCCTCTGCTGCTGCCATACAGAGAGGGAACTTTCTAAATGCCACAAGAGTGTCATGGTCAGACCAACCCCACTTTTTATAAACATCAGCTCTCTTTGCCAATGAGGATTTGTTTAGACAGAAGAATACATGAATAGCCATAAGAAATTGATACTTCAAAGGATTGATCCCTATATTCTTCACTTCTTCTACAATGTCCTTAAACACATTAGGGCTTGCAGTTAATGTCCTAGGATACACTTGCAACAATTTGATGACATTTGATTCAGGAACTCCTGCTTCTCGCAATAGCTCCATATTAGGCCGGGCAATTGTGTTGGCGTTAAGAAGAATGCCCGAGCAATATTGAAGAGTTTTAATAAGCTTCTCGTCAGATTGAGACACATCTCGAAAGAAGTCAAAGGAAGGAATGAGCTGCTTCCTTAAGCTTCTTGACATGATTCTAGGACAACTACATATGAGCCTAGGGATGTCTGAGCTCGAAACGCCTCTGGATTTGAAAAATTCAATTTTGGGCAGAAAGGTTTTCTCAGGATCATATCGGAGAAACGATGGGATCTCAGCAATGAAACGAACAATCTGGGGCTGAGAGAATCCATGACTTTTAAGGAAATTGATAACCAAATCAGGCTTATCCGGCGTTTCGAAGCTGACACGCTTAGAAGCTGAAGCAGCTTGTTTGGGTGACAAGCCACAGGTGTCAATGAGATATGAGAAGGTGAAAGAATGCCCATTGGAAGAGGTTGAATAAGCATACCTTGATGAAAACCACTGGGTTTGAACACAAATCAGATGTTGCAATGTTGAAGGAGAGACTGCGCTGATACCGATAGCTTTGCGGAGAGAAGGCAACATGGACTCCGTTCGTTTCGAAGACTAGAGAACGAAGCGTAAAACCCTTCTGCGCAGCATCGCCTATATTAAATGCATTTTCTGGTTTTACATTTTACCCTTTTTGTTTTTTTAAAGAAAGTCCATTATCCATCTACTGCTTCTAATCCTATGTGTAAGGGCTTGTTTAGTAATATTATCTAAATATATTATTACTGCATTACAAAAGCAAGACATAATAACAGTCTGCCACGTGGCAGCACATTATGCAGATAAATTATCTTTATTTTTTATTTTTGTGAAAGCCATGTTTCTATGCATGATCCCCTATTTATGTGTTTTTTTTTAATTTAATTTAATCCAATTTTAAATTGGTTCATGTTGTATGTATATACCATAAATAAACGTCTAATACATAAACAAACATCTATTTGCACTCATGCAATGCATGTTTACTGAACCAGTTTATTAAAAGATAAAACCATATTTTAGTACAGGGCTTATTAACACAAGAAGATGGTGTTGTGATCAGAGTGGGACAACCAATAGGGGTTGGGTTTAGCGGTAAAGAGCTAATCTTTTACAACGTGACGAATCAAGGTTTGAATTCCTGTTAGGAGAGGTGTCCACATTTAGTACCCGACAGTATCTCGAATAGGATTACCTCCAATAAGAAGATAGCTATACTTTGGAAAAAAAAAAACAGGATGGGATATAGGCTGAACATTAGGTATCCTACCCAGTCTAGGAGTATTATTTACTCCTTTTTGTTCTTTTTATAGTAACGTGAAATTTAAATTGACTTGGTCATTTTAATAAGATCGTAAGTAAAGTTGTTTGGACATTTAATATGTTTTTACTATTGTTTCTAATTAGTTTTATGAATTGACTTGGTCATTTCATAAGGGCATACGTAGGGAAAAATTTTATTTCATATATATTTATTACTTTTAACTAATTTTAGTTATTTTTTTAAATCATGTACTACTACGTCCCTTATTATAAGATCCTTTTAATTAAATTACACAATTTAATAAAACAGTTAAAATTAGTTTAAAACAATTAATATGTAGCAAATATAATTTTTTTCAAATATACCCCTATATATAAATGAGGAGATGTGGGAGAGTAATAGTCAGATAAATAAAGAAAGCGAATATATTAAATACAGTAAACTAGGGATAAAATAAGAAATAATATATTAAATATTCAGACAAATTCAAAAATAATTTTATATAAAAAATAAATCTATTTAAAAAATTATAAGAAGGGGAGGGAGTAATTTTAATAGTGGAAGGTGGACATCCCAGTTTGTCATCTGGATGCACTGACAGCATCATACTGGAAGGGGAGTCTTCTAACTGCCGCAAGAATGTCATTATTAGGTCAGACCAACCCCACTTTTTATAAAATTCAGCCTTATTTGCCCATTTGGATTTGCAAAACAACAAGCATACATTAACAGCCATAGCAAATTGAAAATTCGAAGGACCAAACCCATGTTCCTTTACTTTCATAACAGTAATATTGAGATGTATAGTAGCCTTTAATAATTTAAATTTACATGTACTAGCTCTAGTCCTTAATATAAAATTTTGTTTGATTTTTATTTTGATTCTAAATATAAGATCCTAATCCACTTTATCTCTCATATTTATGTACTCCTCCGGTCCTTAATATATGACCCAATTCTTAAGTTGATTTTGGTCCTAATATAAGACCCATTTATCATATTTATCAATTTTCTCTAAATTACCCCTATGGATACTCTCTCAACCATAATCAAGTAGAAGAGGGAGATGGGTATTAAGAAAGATGATTATGGTGTTTTAGGAAAAATGTGTCACTTTTCTTAAAATTAACTAACTTAACTAATTTCTTTAATCTAATCAAATTAGTTAAATGGGTCTTATATTAAGGACTGGAGGAGTATTTTTTTTCAAAGTAATCCTTCTAACAATGGTAACTCTAACCAATACATTTGATTAGCAATAATATTTTAAAAAAGACAACATATATTTATTACAAATAACTAACTTAACTTCTTTTCTTAATCTTCTCAAATTAGTCAACTAGTTTTTATAATTAGGACCGGAAGTAATATCACTTGAGATAGAATTATAGAAACTTGGATCCTCTCGAGTATAGACTGTTCTGATTTCATGTGTTGCTTCATTTAAAAATTATATATATATGTGTGTGTGTGTGTGTGTGTATATCAAAATAAGTAAAAGAAGAAACTAATAAATCAGATTATCCAGATTAAATCAAAATAGCCCATATCACTTCATTAAGCAGTTTCAAATGAAGAGAGTGGAACTGCAACATTATAGGTGGTGAATCATTTATATTCGATTGAACCGCCTATGAGCTTAACGTCAAAACCACTGATCTGTTGTTACAAGCCGACACATCCACAGTAAGCTTAGAGGGAGATATTTTTATGTACTATCTCCGATTCTAATTATAAAAACTAGTTGACTAATTTGAGAAAATTAAATAAATAAATTAAGTTAATTATTTATAATAAATAGATATTATTTTTCTTAAAATATCTTTACTAATCAAGTGTATTGTTTAGAACTAACATTATTAGGAGAACTATCTCAGAAAAAATATATATATAAATATGGGAGACAAAATAGATTGAGATCTTATATTTAGGACCAAAATAAAAGTTAAACCAAGTCTTATATTAAGGACTGAAGTTCAACTAATCTAGTTCTTCGAAAAAAGGATAATGAACCCCTGTATAATTGTCTCCGGGCTATGTACAACATCTGTTTTTGTAAACTGTATAACTATCAAGATTGATTTAGAAAGCTAAACTTTCACCCACAGCATGATATTAGTTTTGATTGGTAGGTCCTTTCCAAGCCAAATTAGAGCAAACAACATGACTGAATGTCAATAATGTAATGCGTTAAAGGGCTGTAGAGAGAAGAGAGTTCTACAAGTGCTACATCATTAGTTCATATCCATAACCTAAAACCTGTCCGGTCTCCACTTTCCCCACAAGATCCAGTTTAGACCAATACAACTCCAATAATTCATTGGCTTCTAGCTCATGACAAAAGAAGCTGTTTAAACCCTGTTCTAACAGATCCAAATGGTCAACCAATGTTAACCGAGTTAAAAAGTATTTCTGTCCTGAAAGTTTTTAAAAAGGAGTTGTAGATATCTAAATTTTTTTTGGCATACCCTGAAAGTAATAAAAACATAGCAATTTTACCCTATCCAAGATTGTGAGTTGACTCTTATATAATATATCAATTTATAGGTTATGTAAATTGGCTTGAGAAAAAATGATAAATATAAAAAACAAAGTGGATTAAAATCTTATATTTAGGATTAAATCTAACTGTCAACTAATTCTTATATTAAAGATAAAAGGTATTCATCTATATTTTTATTAATTTTTTTATCATTGATGTAACCCTTCTCAATTTTATTTTTTTATATAAAAACTAAACGTATATTTATTTTACATGTTATTATATGGAGCTTTGAAATGATCACTCAAGTAAATAATTTATTAAAAAAGTGCTGTTTATAAATTCCTTACATTTTATGGTGATATATTATCTTATCATAAGACGCCACATCATCATCAGACTAAAAAAAAAAAACTCTTTCCCCTTTTATCATCACCATCTTTATTCATAAAAACATGAACAATCAACAAAAATAATCATAAAACCAAATCAACAATTACCGAATATGTAGACAAAAAAACATAAGCTTTTCCTCTTCATCATCATCAACATCCATGAACATTTAACCCCCAAAAAAAAAAACAAGAAGAACAAACCAAATCAAACCAGAAATATCTTTAATATTTTGGTTAATAAAAGATATAAAAAACGGTAAGATAATATATCAACATAAAATGGAAAAAAATTTATTAGCGGTACTTTTTTGATAAATTATTTTCTTGAGTGATAATTAGGACAGGGTAAAACTGCTATATTTTTATTACTTTTGGGACAAAATTGCACTAAGAACAACTCCCAGATACATACAGCTCCTTTTTGAAAACTTCCGGAGCAAAAATGCTATTTAACCCTTAATTTTATCCTCAGACATCTTAATACAAAACGGACACTCTAAAAGCAGCAGCAATGTCATAGTCAGAGCAGCCCTACTTCTTGTAAACATTAGCCTTTTGTGACTATCTTGATTTGCTTAATGACGACAATGCCTAAACGGCCGTAATAAATTGATACTTTAACGGATCAAACCCCATTTCCTGAATCTCCTTCACAATCATCTTGAATCGACCAGTATTGACAGAAAATCACCAATTGATGGAGATAATCTTACTTAAAACCCTTGTTTCACACAGTACCTGGAACGAGACTCACAAGTGCAGAACTGCTATTGTAACTATTGCTTGAATTCCCCAATTACTGTATACCAATAACAAGAAATTCTCCCACGGGGTAAGATTGATAGCAATAAAAGAGGAAGAAAAACAATTTTTGTGGGTAACTGAAAGACCAATTGTTTTCCAAAGAGCCCAACCCAAATCCTTGCATATACCAAGGAAGTGTTCCGAAGAGCACAACACTGGGGGGGAAAAAGAATGGAAGAAGTCGCATGAGAAAAATAATGGAAAGAAAAATCCAAGACTTTCCCTTCTGCTACAAAGTATCTCCCTCTAAGAAACAAAAATGACAGGAATATTACATAGCATCACAGGTGACCTTGTTAAAACCAGGGCTTAGGATTCAAATGGTAGAGAAATTTCAGTTTATCTACAACCCTTGAGAGATTTGATTCTTCATTTTCAAGCTAAATTAAAGTAAACAAAAACAACGAGAGAGAAATTAACAAAGGTCATGCAGCAGAAGACATAAATTTAGTTACAAGCGACTTGCTCCATCTCAGTCCATACCCATAACCTTTTCATTCCTCATTCACCTTGCAAGATCAAGTTCAGCCTGATAAAGCTTCAGGAGTTCACTGCATTCTTCCTCATGACTGATGACCAATCTTCTCAAAAACACCCTTTCAGTATAGAGAAATA